TGACAGGAAGTCCCACCCGAGGATAACGTCATGCGAGCACACCGAAAGGACGATGAACTCGACAACGTACATAGAGCCTTTGATGAAAATGCGGGCTGTACAGGTGCCGAGAGGTCTGACTGGCTGTGCGCTAGCCGTACGAAGCGATAGTCCAGAGAGCGGCGTGGTCACTTTGCGTAGGGAGCGGCAGAGCTGGGCGGCTATAACAGAAACGGCAGCACCTGTGTCGATGAGGGCAAATGTAGAAACACCATCGACAGATATGGCGACGACGTTAGCAGGTGAAGTGCGAGGACTTGGGCATTTCGATGACGGCGCAGTTCTTGCCTCTGGAACTGCGGCGTTCAGTTTTCCCGGTTGGAGGAAGCGGGTCGGGGACGCATTGGGGACAGAGATCGCCTGCGAGGAGACGGCGAGCGGGAAGAGTGAGTCGGAGCTGGGCGCTGGGGTGACTGAGACCCGGGAAGATTAGTGTAGCCATACTGCGGTGAAGATAGGAGCAGGTAGGTGCGTGGGCGGCGGGTCATACGGTAACGGCCAAGTAGCGTTGTGTTGCGATTGGAAACGACGACGACAATATCGTGCCACGTGTCCTGGAGTACCGCAGGCGTAGCAGATTGGTCGATTGTCAGCAGTGCGCCAGGAATTGCTGACTCGCGGTGCAGCCCAAGGTGTCGAAAGAGGGGTAGAGTGGGGAGCAACTGCAGGCATGGGTGGCAAAAGCTGCTGGCGGGGTCTGCTGCGTACCACCTGGGCATAAGTAAGAGGCGCGGCCACGGGCTGCATAGCCGGCGCATGGGGAACAGTCACGGCCACAGGCTGCTGGTGGGCAGCGACGGGAACAGCCTGAGCTACCTCTTCGGCAATAACGTCGCGGAGTGGTGAGGGCAGACGAGAGGCTGGCGGCTGCTGCGTGAAGGGAATCAACGACAGTTGCCGAGCTACTTCTTCACGCACGAAGTCTTTAATCTCTTGCAGGGTTGGTGCGTGGTCGGGAACGGAAGTGAGACTGGAGAGCGAGTCGGTGTGTGAGGAAAATGGCCGAGTCAGGGCGCGCTGCTTGCTCAACTCGTCGAAACTTTGACACAAAGTAACAAGTTCCGCAACGGTGGCAGGATTACGGGCGAGGAGCAGCTGATATGCACCGTCATTTATCCCTTTGAGGATGTGTTGAATCTTCTCCGACTCGGGCATGGTGGTGTTCAGTCGGTTTGCAAAGTCCAATGATGTCTTCAATGTAGCTTGTGAAGATTCCGTTGGTTTTTGTGCGCGAGTCCGCAAGCGTTGTTCGGCTCTGGACTTGCGGACAGCGTGTCGGCCAAAAACGTCAGCGAACAACGTTTTGAAGATGGACCACGTCGTAATGTCGTTTTTGTGGTTGTTATACCACATTTCGGCTACGTCAGTGAGGTAAAAGATGACGTAAGTCAATTTGTCCGCGTCATCCCACTTGTTGTTTGCGCTTACCAGTTCGTAGTTAGCGAACCAGTCTTCCACGTCAGTCTTATCAGCTCCGCTAAAGACTTTGGGCTCTCGCAAACGAAGAACGCCGGGGTTGCTGGGGGATGGAGTGGAAGAGCCAGGTTGCGCGTTGTTGGTAGCCATGATGGTAGGTAGCGTTCGGTTGCGCAGCTCCAGGTTGAGGCGACGGCGAATGGCAGCACCCAGGTTCAGGCGACGGGGAATGTCAGCACCCTCCACCAATTGAAAAAGGGTTTATTGGCGACTGTTGCGACGGTGGTCCTACGATGAAACACGATCGGACAAGAGCAACGGTCGAGCAGATGCCGGCGATGATCAGCACGAGCCGAGCGAGCGAAGCCAAGCACCCAGTACCCAAGCGGTGGCGATGTTGTTTGCCAACGATGCGTTTTCTTCTTCACATATGTTATTGTTTTCTTCGATAAAAAACCACTATTTAGTTAGCATTGTGCTGTGTTCACTTCTCGTCTTCATCCGTGTTAATTACACTATTAGCCGCAATGATGGAGAGGAGGAAAAACTTCATTGAAAGGGCCATGACCCAGTCACCCAATAATTTGTGGTTATCAGTGAAAAATAGAACTGGAGGGTCTTTGTAGAACTGGAGGGTCTGTTGTACCTATACCTGTATGAAAAGTGCACTGTGTAAGAATATTTCACTGCTAAATATGCCCTAGATGTCGCCGGTTCTATGAAACCCACCCACTGCTGGTGACTGTTGTTTTGTCAAAGGGTGTGTGGCATTCGTAGTGAAGCCGTCGTTTTCTACCAAAGCTTCAGTTGCTGTAAATGGTCCAGTTTCAATGCCATGCCGCAGAAAGCGGAAATGTCTAGACTCCAGCGTAGCTGACCAGGAAACAATGTTGTTCGCCAGAATGCACATGGTTGTGCAGCAAGCAGCTTGTGACGTCACAGCTCGCAAGTATTAGGTGCCTTGCATCTTTATAACAACATTCAATTATGAACTGAAAGCTTGACCAAATGTGCTGAAATTTTGTCAGTTTGTGAATGCACTAGTATTAATCCACACAACTTGAGTTATGGTCGAAAATTGTGTGTCATGGCCCTTCAAGACAGGCATTTTAAGGAGAAATGCTACTCAAAAAATACAATTTTTTTTCTACGAAATTGCATATTTTCTTTTACTTGCTTTTACAAGTTTAGTTTTGCTTCCATGAAAACACAATCAAAATTATAATTAAACTCGAAGTAGATTAAAACCTCTTTTAAAGAGGGCGAATAAAAACTAAAAAGAGCTCATTGTCAAGAGTCTCTTAAAAATTGTCACTTGGCTGCTTACGATTGCACTTCGCATGAGGAGTTCAGCAAAGCCACATCAAAATAACAGATTCCTAAGTTGTAATGATGGAATAAATCAATTTTACAAGCATATTTTTGTCACATAGATGAGCTTTCATTTCTATATATAAAATGCGTTCTTCTCAAAATGCTATTTTGGGCAACCTGTGGAATTTGGACATATTTTTTGTGCATCTTAATGCTCGATCGGGATGAAATTTTTCTCACTTATTCCTTAACATGTGAAAAGTGCAATTGTCTCCTTTAAAGTTTAATGCCACATATAATTATTATGAAGTTGAAGTAAGCTATTAGTATGAGCTGAAAAATTTAAGACTCCTCACATTCCAATTTCTCTTGTTTGTTAAAATGTCTTATACACACTTTCTTGTTAGTTATTTGCATTATTCAGTTAGTGTGGAGCAATATGAGCCATCAATGGCTCATAACCATAAAAGTTAAGGGGCAGGAAAAGTGTGTCTAAAAAGAGCAACATTTTACACATTGTCGTGGTACCTTACTCTAAAATGGGGTTCGAATCCCGGCTGCATTTCTGATGGAGGCGGAAATGTTGTAGGCCCATGTGCTCAGATTTGGGTGCACGTTAAAGAACCCCAGGTGGTCAAAATTTCTGGAGCCCTCCACTACGGCGTCTCTCATAATCATATGGTGGTTTTGGGACGTTAAACCCCACATATCAATCAATCAATCAATCAATCAATTACTCTAAAATGCATTATATACCTGAAATTAGCATGAAATCCTATGTAAACAGCAATAATTTCATTGCCCTAGACTACAGATAATTTTTTTTTTGAGTAGCATCTCCCTTTAAAGAGACACTAAAAAAGAACAATGACTTGGTTTAAATTAACAAAGTGCGCTCTGAGAACTCTAATGCCATATGTTTCACTATTATAAGTTCCTTATTAGTGGAGACAATCAAGGTTTCATTTTAAAATTTTGCAATGAAATCTAGTGTCAATATGTATTTTTTGTATTATTGCTACATTTCCTCGATGAAACTTCAGGTGCTAGGTCCTTGGCACCCACAGATGACAGTGGGCTTCATTTTTATCCAGTAGACACCTCCAAAATCTGACGTGGTGTTTGGTGTGGGAATTTCAAGGTGGCATCTCCACCCGCATTTTCTTTTTGTGCTTACTATCTAGATCTATGTTTTCAGACATAGATCTTTCATGCTGAGTCATATTATTTGCCTTTGCTGTCCCATTAAACATTATTGAAACTTGTCTTTTTATATTGCCCTGTTGAACGTTCGTGCAGTATTTCTAATATAAAAGAAAATCCTCCTGCAGGGACTGCAATTCAATGAACGTTCGAATTGAGACATAACGAAGTAAATCGGTTAAGTTTGTGATATTTTCTTCCTCTTTACAAATTTTCCCATATTTACCTACATTTGGATTAATGTTGCCATACTAGTGCTCACAATCACTGTGCTTTTTGAACAACTTATTTAGGAGTGCTTTAACTAATATTGCATTTGGCAAAACTTTATTTTTTATTTTTACATACTGCAGCCTCAATGAGGCTATTGCAGGAGTGAGAAAAAAAAAACGAAAACAACAGGAACAAAGCAACATTCTTGAGCAGGCTTCCCAAAATTCTTGAAGTGATAGCGAACGAACACTTCCGGGCAGCATATTCTAGGCTTCTATAGTTGAAGGAAAGAAGCTGTATTTGAACACGTCAGTGAGGGTGAAAAATGTTGCCATGTTAAGGGCATGGTCACTTCTCGTAGACAAAGGTCTGAAAAATTTGAGAAATTAATAATGTATAGTTTGTGTCCCTTCAATAATGCTTTTAACCCTGATGGTGACCCCCCGCCGCGGTGGTCTAGTGGCTAAGGTACTCGGCTCTGACCCGCAGATCACAGGATCGAATCCCGGCTGCGGCGGCTGCATTTTCAATAGAGGCAAAAATCTTGTAGGCCCATGTGTTCAGATTTGCGTGCACTTTAAATAACCCCTTGTGGTCAAAATTTCTAGCGCCCTCCACTATGGCATCTCTCATAATCACATGGTTCTTTTGGGATATTAAACATCACATATCAATCAATCAATCAATCCTGATGGTGACCCGTATGAATAAATTTTAGGCCACCGCAGTAGCCTGCATGGCCTGCAAGTTATTTGATGCCTGGTTGTAAAGTACTATGATCACGTAGATACTGACTGTGCCTATTTATATTTCAGGGTACATTAGGTACGTTCATGAAAGCAAGTACAGGAATTCCTCATCAGGTATGCACTTTTTTTTACTTGCTTAGGCTGGCATGAATGTCTTCCTACTTTCGTAGAAAAGATCGAGTAGAAAGGGCATTTTTTTTTTGCCCCACAACAATTATCGTCATCTATCTGGTGTTCCTTTCCTTGCACTATCGCCGCGCGCTCGGCACTTTCAGGTCAAGAACTTGATAGGAAAGTGGCCAGCGCTGAGTTTTCAAGAAAGGAAGCGCAAGCAAGTTGGATAATGATTATTGCTGTGGGACAAAAAGACACCCTTTTTCCTCAATCTTTTTTTTTAGAGTGTTTGGTATACGAGCGTTCCCAAACGGCATGTTATGCTTTAATCATCATGGCGCTGGGAATTGCTTTCCATGGTGTTATCCCGCTTACCGTATTTGGTGATTCTTAGATAAGCCTGTTGAGCAAAGTCGCAGTTTTGCTTGATAGCAAAAAGTAATGCTTATTATTGGCAGTCAGAATTAATGTGTTTGATAGAAAGCATGTTGTTGCAGTGCTGTAGTGTTTACGTATGGGAAGAATTCAAAACTTCAGGCTCTTTTTAACCCTTCCACTACTGGATTTGTTGTTTTTTTCTGCACATTAAGCAAAAATATTTAGTTGGTAATGCAGTGGGAAGATGGTAAGGTCATGGAAACATATGTATAGGAAAATATCTAATCGCTACAGAAGTAGCACTCATTTAAAGTAATGGATAAAGTAAATATTTTTAATAAAATAATGAATAATTACTCATTATTCAGTCACTGAGACACTAATTATTCATTTTGTTGGGAGTCAGAATAAGTCTAGAGCTCGTGACTTTGTTCTGGTAAAGTGTGCACATGTGGCACACCCTCTTGCCATGGCTGCGCTGCCGAGACGCTTGCAGACACACGAGCAGACGCTGATGTTGGAGCATGTACTCCCTATGTTTAAAATTTCACAAGTATGTTTGTATGTTCTTTCCACAGACGGTGGGACACACCAGAGGTTATTTTTTTATTTTACAAAGTTGTCTTTCAAGTGGCAGGGAGGGATCTTTAAAGGAAAAATGGGTATGCCCTGGATTCGTAGGGCGTGTCGTTTCCTGAGTGATCTCAGGATTTCAGTGATGCTATAGCTGTGGCAAACTGCTATAAAAGACAAATACTGCTATATTTATACCATTCTGCGCCAAACAAGACGAATTTATGTTTCGAAAATGAAACTAATCGCTTCAAGTCGCAGTGCCCTATCTAGTGTGGACATGTCTACACGTGCATGTACCACGCTACGGTGGCTGTGAATACCTGTAAGCTAAGGAAAACATTTGGCCTGTGCAGGGCTGGTCAGACTACCATTCTTTATCATAAGTCGCCAGAGAAGCGAATGTGCGTACTGTTTTGCAGAGAGTGCACAGATTCAAGATGGGACGAATAGGCAGCTGTGCCACTTCGATAATCGAGTCGTGTGACTGGTGTAAGAATCCACCTTTTGCATGCCTCTGCAGGGCATGCTCGGCTTTCTGCAGGCGGCTTTGGTAAACGATTTGTGGGGCGCCGTTACAGATGCCACCTGTTTTTTTGCGGTGACATCGGTAGTGTGAGTGGAGCAGGCGGCACAATGAATAAATTTATAAATCTGGCTCTGTAAGTGGGATGCCGGCAACTAGTGCAGTTTATAGATGCACTTCAGGAGGCATGCGCTGTGCCAGCATTCTATCTCTCTATTTTTTTTTTTTTTTCACTTCTTATCTGTGAAATGCACACAGCACCTCTAAGTGTGCATCAGGGCTGTGAGGTGCTAAAATGAGGACAATAGTTTGTGGCAGCCTTCGATTCTGCAAGACAGTGTGAAAAGAAGATCATTAAAGGTGTGTGTGCTAACTAAATGAGTATGTCAAGTTTCTTGGAGGACATAGAACAAGTGTGTGATTTGTTTTGGTTTCTTCGCTCAGCAGTGCAGTAGCGATAACACTTAAGCTACGGCTTTTCTTTGTACGATATGTTTTCTGAATTTGTTTTGCTATGACGACAACAGCAAAGTATGTTTAAGTGCGCGTTGGTTTACTTCGGTCTCAGCGTAACTACGCTGTCCATTTTGGCGAGCCTTCTATATATCAGATAAGAGTCGCTGTGAATTGTCCTCTTGAACATAATGAATGTGAAATGGAGTAGTTTTGTCACTTGTCATTCACAGACTTTCAGTCGTTCATTTCTGTTGAGGCACATTCATCGTTCGGTAAAAAAAGCAAAAAGGAATCTGTGTTGATGTGACTGCCACGTGCTGTGCCTTTTTTTTTTTTTTTGTCACACTGTAGTGCAATGTTTACGGGCCGTCCATCTTAACCAGGCACCTCTATTTCGGTTAAACGACACTGGAGAGTACATAGCTCTTGACAGGTTCAGCATGCCGCGTTCGATCGGTGCCAGATGTTCTGCTGTGCTAAAATGATGCAATGCGTGTGGTACGATCATGTCCCCTCAATTTCAGTTTGCAGGCCAGTAAAGACTGTGGCCCTTAAAAGTGAGTTAACGCACGCCGTGCACATCGAAGTGCGTCATTCAGTAAAAGCATTGCTCCGCGCTCCCATAGTAAAACATTGGCGCAACAGCAGGCCAAAGCAGGGGTCTAAAGGTTCATAACATTAGTATGAATACCACAACAAACAAAAATTATTATATTCATCCGACCAGCTAGTAGTAGGCCACTATGTCGCCTGTGGTCTTCGCCACAAATGTATGCACTGTGAACTATAGTATTGACCTTTCATCGACAGGAGGCAAATGCTACTCGGGGGTCCGCAGGGGAACGTAGCAATATATACTCATTAAACATGAGCTTGCGCACGCATTCATCATGGTAGAATTTCCGTTATTTTGTGGTTTGCTGGGAGAACCGACTGCGAACCAGTTGCCGTTGTGATGGTAGTCAACTGCTTCTTGCGCAGAATTTTCATTGATGCTCTATTCTTCCATTCATTGGACAGAGAAGAAGCTGCTGGTCATGTAAATACTTTCAGGTGGATCCATGCCTTAACACAACACTCAGACAGGGCAATCAGCAGATGTGCCGCCACCACGATCTGTGCTAAGCAGTGGCGGTGCTGGCAGAAGCTCGCCGCTATGCCCTACGGTTTGTTCCTGGAAGTTTCTGTGAGACGGCGCCACATAGACATGCAAAAGGCGGATACTCATTCAATTAACTTTGCAAACGTTTAAAGTTTAATGTTTGTGCTCTAAAATCGCTCTGGCACAAAATCGCCGACTGACTTCTCGGAGCTCCTCGTTTATACGCTGAATTTCCCTGCTCAATGCAACCGTATATGTGCATGCTTTCGATTTCCCAGGTGCAATGTCGTAAGCATTGGTGACAGCAAGTTGTTCGAGTGTTTTACATGGGCGCTTTTGTTTTCGTTGATGATGCTAGTCGTTGCTTTCAGAATTGGAAAGCGGTTTCTGTGGATCCACCTCGTTCAGAATGTAACCACTTCAATGATTTTTGTTTTCTTGATTTGGCACCAAACCTCACATTTGCGTCCGCTGTTCACGGCGGTTACGTAGCGCTTGTTACGCCTACCAAGCCTGCAAGTTTGCTGCTTAACATGCTGCCCAGATAAACTTGCCCTAGATTATATGAGATCGAGCATCGCACTTCGAGCTCAACAAAGGCCAGCATGCGTAAAACGAAGTTTGGTTCCGCAGTCAGGAGAACAGCCGCGGCAACTGCAGTGAATAACGTAGCAAGCTTGCAAGTGGGCCTGTTGGTGGAAAAGACAAAAGCCTGTATCGCAAAGCCTTTACATTTGGGTAACACCACTGCCTACACTAATGGTGGAATTGAGAACTCATGCACAATATCTGTACTCTACGATGACCTAAATATTTTCCGGACAGAAAGTTCACCGCAAGGACAGTTTCACCGCAAGGGTGAACCCATGAATGCGATAGCAACAGATTGTAATGTTATATGATGTGAGGCTGGCAGCTAACTTTTTTGGATGCGATCACACGCAACTCTACCAAACGCTGGTGTAAGAGTATACGGCCGCTCTAGGCACACTTTTACGCTGTGCCTTAGTGTTGAGAATGTAGCACTTAGAAGGGTATATGAGAGACGCCCATTGACGGCTGCGCTCGTAAAATCAAGTCTCCGTTAATGCTCTAGAGGTCCCCCCCTCCTCCTTCCTGGCGGGGCGTTTTTTCTCTGCTTGAGCATTCGACGTATACTCTAACAGGTGGTTAGATCTTTGGCGTGCGCCTTGAAGTGACGGTGATAGGTCACCTTGTTTGATCTCTGATAAAGCCGCGTTTTTTGTCGCCGATCACGCGCTACTAACTGCGGATAGAACGTCTATTGCTGCTTTATCACTTGCTACATGAAACCAGCTGGCAAAAAAAGTGTGTTCCACACTCAGCGTCATGGCACTGATTATGCTCAGAGGTTTACACATGCATAAATACCCCATTAAATGTATGGGAGGACGACTGCCTTCGTAGCTCAATTGGTAGAGCATTGGGCAGGTTATCTGAAGGTTGCAGTATCTGCTGGCTTTTCATCCATTTTAGTTTTATTACATTGATATCATAGTTACAACAGTACAATTAAAAGACTATAAATAAAATCACCTGCACCTTAGTTGGCTGTACTGTCTGCAGGTTTTCATCGAGGTTGCATCAGAGAAAAATTGGCCCTTTTCATGTGGTGATGAGTGATGCTTGTCAGCCAAACAAAGCAGCCGGAGGCTGCTTGCCTTTTCAGTTTCTGAATAACATTTCTCTGCGTCACGCACCCTGCACCCTCCAATGCACCATGGCGCATATACGGCCCAATTTATTGGGCGCAGAGAAAAGAATGCGCACACCAAACCGGTTCCCCACACTTTTCAGTCCGTGTGCCATTTTATGAATGTAGGGAATGACGGCCACGCGTTCGTTTTCTTTATTGCATTCTGCAGAAACACACGCATGTTTATCACCGTTTCTCACCATCTGCAGAAGTCTCACACACCAATGCAATTAGATACGGCAGGTACTCAGCCCCGAATAACCGTCCTAGCTGCGCTAAGAAATTATGGTGCACCATGTGGATACAGCTTTTTTCAAGTGCTGAACGAAGGCATGACAATACAATTCCTCATTTTATAAGCTTGGAATGGCCGGACGGGTAATCTAAAACAGGTTTCGTGGATCGAGGGTTATATTGCCAGCAAAGATGAATTAACTCCAAAGAATAAAGAAAGGTCTAGAAATTTCAATTTATGATTACTCGGAACCTCCGAGGTGCATCGGAGGCCTATGACCTCCGTCTCGAAGCATGCCAAAATAGTGTCATAGTTCACTGCAGAACATTTCTTTACAAAAATCAGATAATCATCAATGTATCTGAAGATTTTGGTGCCTGATGGTAGTTTAGTGCTTAAGGCGGTGTCCACTGTCCCTAGAAAAATGTTGCTTAATGCAGGAGCCACACTGGAACCTCTACACATACCCAATGTATGCATGTACAAGTTTCCAAGCCATACGATGAAGGTCGACTTTAGGTAAAACGTCAAAATTTCTAAAAAGGACTCAGTTGACATTCCTGTACGATTCCTGAATGATAATTCGTCATTGTCTTCCACAATGCACTGCTCAATGCAGCTTAGCAACTAATCATGCGGCAAAGAATAATATAGGTCGACTACATTAACACTAAATGCCGTTACCTCTGAAAACTCACTGGTGTTCAAGTATTCAACCAAAACATCCGAGTTTTTAAACGTAGGAGGGGTCGTTCACGTGCAACACGGATAAATGCTTTTGCAGATATTTCTACACAACCAGCTGCCACGAGTCCCTCTCCGAGATAATTTCGCCTAATGGCTTATTTGGTTTGTGTGTCTTTATGGAAGAGATTTCCAACTCTGCGGATTTGGCCTTTGCCACAGAAGAACCGAGCTTTTCCAGGTTCACTCTATTTAACAGCGAGACGGCTCTGGCTTTCACGGCATTTCTTTTTACAGAAATGGGTTTGAAATTTCGTTCCAATGCTTCCTCCGCCTTGTTGAGGTATTCCTGTTCACTAATAATGATGAAGAACCCTTCCTTGTCAGAAACAAGTACCCTTAGCTGCATTTTCAGGCAAAAGTCTACGGCAGGTCCCACATGCAATGTTCTATTAAACTTAATAGCATTCCTCGAAACAACATAAACACTTTCCGTTACACATCTATGTCGTTCTTCCTTTTTGGCTAGCTTGGAGACCGCCCTTGCTGTAGTAATTTTTTCCTCTGGTCGCAGGTTTGGTGCCACGGGGAACTTCGAGCCTTTTTGCAGAACGTGCTGAATTTTATCCGGCAGGTTGACACCACTCAGGTTCATGAAATGCCCCCCATGTGAAACTTGTTTTTCTTGACGGGAAGTTGTGGCCTGATGCAGTTCCACAAGGTTTCAGTCGCTTTCCTTGCTGTCTTGCACCACTCGACATAGGAACCGCAGTATCTTCGATGATTGTTCTGGTCGCAAATGACCCGTAGCCAGACCTTATAACACCCGACTTGTCTATACCACTCAGAGCGGAGAATTCGGCATATCCTTTTGGAATGATCGAAAGATGGGTTCATCCATCCAAAAAGCACCTGTACATCGGTGGGACAAGTTTCTTGACGAAGATGCCATGATGCCGAAATGGCGGGGTCTTGAAAGAAATGCATTACAATAGGATGGAAAGGTGGGCTTGTTGGTAATTCATGATTGTTCAGCGAACTGGGGGCGCGGGGGTAAACACAGAGACAAAGCAAAGAGGAGGCACACAGCACGAGCGCTCAACTAACAACTGGTTTATTCTCACGTTCGAAGGACATATAAGTACACAAGGGTGCGCATGTCAACAGGAATAAGATGATAGTGTGAACAGCAAGCGTGGCGTTCATTTGAAGCACTTGTCTACGAATTATCTATATAGTTGAACTCACAGTCAAGTAGTGATAATGACGGATGGCTGATGCATTGATTCTTATTTCTATAAATGTGATATGCTTCAGAAATTTCACGCGTGGTTTGAAGCGGATGCCGGAAAAGTACACTTGTTTTTTTTCAAAGAACGGTTGACAATTGTACATTCAGGAGAGGAGCTACAGAGCAGCGAGGTCTGCCAGTGGGCATGCATGGGGACTGCACGTGGGAGGGTGAGATGTCTACCATGTGATCAAAGCCCCATTATTTTCTGTGAAATATCAGCAGAACATAGGTGAATTCTGAGGTAGAATCGCCAGTGTATTGTGTGGCGTGAAAGTTGGGCAATGTACATGAGATGGTAAACTACGGATAGGCAGGCTGGATTGTGTTCCTGTAATGTTCCAGAGTGCACTGTTTCATGTCGCATGCTTCATTGAAGTCTGCTTATTTTCTTCGCCTAATGACTAATACATGCTCTGGCAGTCATGACAGTTGGGGTAGCTGTTGTACTCAAAGGACGATGATCAACATCTTGGTGTGGTCTGCACAGGGTCAAGCAAGGATCGATTCAGCAAGAACAGCTCATTTGGCAGCAGTTCAAGCACCAGTGCAAAAGACGTGCACGTGTCCAAGTCTCGGCCAGTGGAGTCAACTACCCATCGTAGCAATCATGAGAGAAGCCATGTTGAGGTGAGAGTGCTCTGTTCATCACACTTTCACAGAGACTAAATGTTTGTATCTTTCTTTCTGAGGAGTAGGGAAGAAGTTTAGCATCAAAGGGCTCATTTTGTTTGTTTGACACAATATTAAAGAGATCTAACAGACAGTCATGGGGAATATTATTAGAGATAATTGTAATCTAAACGTGAACAAAGAAAAGTGGAGAAAAAGATAACTTGTCGTGGGCAGAATTTGAACCTGCGACCTTCGAATTGTGCGTCTGATGCTCTACCAACTAAGCTGCCATGGCAGATATCCCCCCTGTGCACTCTCTGGGGTACATAGGTGCATTAAACTTTGGAGCGTCAGTCAGCACCACCAGTTGTCAACGCTGCGAATGTGGAGCACTCTTTGTCTGCCTGTTTGGCGTCACGTACCACATGTAGTTGCCGTATTTTCGCGATTCAAAGCACTCCCCCTGTTTTCACTCGAAATATTTTATTTTGTAAAAAGTTTGCTTGCGAATCTAAGCACCACCCCTTTTTTTTTTTCTTTCTGTGAGCGTGGCGCAGTCAGGGCGACCAAGTGCACTCTCTTGTCGCTAATCTCGAAAGCCACCACATCATATGTTGCTAGATTCTGTGGCACAAAAGTCAGTGGCCAATCCAATCCAATTGGTAAGTTCGGACTGGTTGTGTTGGCTTGACGGTGATGGGTGACTTGCGGGCGTTTATTTGTCAGTTGTTTGATATCTTTGAGAGCGGTTAGAATGAGTGCAGAGAGTGATTCCTTCTACTTGAAGTTTAAGTGAGCTGCGATCGTATTTGCCGAGGACAGTGGCAACCCGCCTTAGAAATGGGCATAAACCGAGCCTGTATCCATCAGATGGAGGAAGCGGCGGGACCAGATTTTCAAGGGCACTGTGGCTTGCAAGAAATTCACGAGACCGCGTAAAGGCCGATACTCCAAACTCAAAGAGAAAGTCTGTGAGTTTGTTTGCAGCGAAAGAAACAGGGCATTCACTGCCGATGCCATTTAGACGAAGGGGATGGAGATCGCAAGGAGAATGGAGATTCCCCCCGCGTTGTTTCACGCTAGCCATGGCTGCGTGGAGCACATGATGCAGAGGAATCGATTTTCTTTGAGGCACCAGACCATAGCATGCCTAAAGCTGCCAAGGGATTTCGATGACAAACTCATTAATTTTCAGCAACTTGTGTTGAATCTCTGCAGTCTAAACTGCTATGATTTCAGCCAGATCAGCAATGCTAATGAGACACCTGTTTTTTTCTACATGCCGAGAGCAAGCATCGTTTACAAAGTATGAGCCCAGTAAGTGAGGGTGAAGAAGACAGTAAGGTTCTGTTTGGCGTTGCAGAAGTCTGTTGCCAGATTTGGAGTTTAGTGTTGCCAGGCTGCCACCAGATTTAGGGGATAAATTCGCCCCTGTAGCTGTGCGTTTCACGTGAGGGCTCTCTGTCATCCGCTGTGCATTTCGCAAGTGCTTGTGTGACTTTTGCCATTTTAAAGAATGCGAATTAACGTACACCACGCATTGCAGAAGTCTGGGTGTGTTCTATTGCTGTGTCGCTCGATCGTCGCTCGATCGTGTCTCAGAAATTCGGGAATCCTCTTGCAACAACGCGTTTGAATACATGCTCGAGGAGATCTGAATTTACGCATCATTTTTCAAAGCATCGGACTTGTGTCCCCAAAACATGGAATATCTTCATAGCTGTGCGTGCCTTGTCGACTACGCATGGCACATTTTCTGGGGAAACTGAATAAAGCCTGCGCTTCTTCTAACAGGCCGTGCTCAATCGTGTCTGAAAAGTAGTGAGCTCTATGCACATCATGCTGCGTCGACCACGCGCGAAGACGGGGACGCTACGGTGCATTCCTTCGCTGTGTTAGCACAATTCATATAGTTCGGATTTGTGTATATATCAAGATTAAATGAAGGCTGGATGTTTGGTGTACATCGAATATGCTATAGATATATATACGCCGTGCAGACTGCTTTATCGCAGCTGCTGGAGCGAAGCACGACTTGCGCGTTCCTGTAAATGGTATCAGACCCGGTAAGCCGCCATCGCCTGTAGGGCCCTTGAAGAGCAGCCCCACCTACAAAAAGCGCAAACGGCCAAAATTCCAATTAATGAATGTGTATTTTCTCTCAGCTTGAAAAAGGGCACCATAAAAATAAATAATAATGACTCAGAGTTTAATGTCCCAAAACCACCATATCATTGAGAGACGCCGCAGTGGAGGGCTCCGGAAATTTCAATTACCTGGGGTTCTTTACGTTTCCGTAAATCTAAGCACACGGGCCTCAAGCATTTTCACCAGAGAACACCTATACCACTTCAGAGAACGGAAACTGTACCTTTGGACTGTTGTATCAAAATAACATGTAAATAAGTAGTGGCAGCGTACTGAACTGCAATACCGCGAGGCGAGATGGCACTGCTAGTGCTATCATCATCATTAAACAGCTGCATTTTTTTTTGCTGCAGGTAGGGTGGCTCACTGCTGGTTCGCGCTGCTCGCTTTCTGTGGTATTTTTTTGTTCTCGTTGCTAAATAGTGGTTCGCGTGTCTAATTATTGCCAGGTGACCTAACTGGCCTCGACTGGCAAAAAAGTCAATGAAGTAAGGTTTGCATCGTTTAATGCGAGTGTCCAAGCCGGTACAACCAATGTATATGGTCGAACCCGAATAAAACAAGTCACTCGTACATGTCAAATGCTTTCAATTCGTGTGCAAAGACACTTGAAAGCTAACAAGCGTATGCATATAACTCATATAACTGAACATCTAGATCGCTGAATGACCATCGCATTGTGGCGTTCAAGTTTAATAGCGTGGCCTCAGGACAAGGGTTTGGTTCTGCCGTCAGATGCGGCGCTTGCCAAGTAGTGTTAATCTTGAAAGTGAATGCATGATGTGGAATCGGGAACGAAACTTGCACATTGCTGGCAGAAAGCTCGCACAGTGAGAGCAATGTAGTTTTGCTAAATTTGTTAGGTAAGCAATCGCAGATGCGTGCAGTTCTGAATCTTTCTCGCTCTGCAGTGCTCATTTGAGTACTTAGTCTTATGTCAACAGGGTAGGCACAAGTGTTTCTTTCTTGGACGTAAGCCCATATCACAGGTAATATGTATTTAGGTGATGAGCATACAAAAAAATATTTCGGGCTTATTACGTTTCTCATTAGAGTTAAGTTACACAGTTAATATAGCTAAAATTTTTCGTTACAAGTAATGATCGGTCTGCCGAGTATGCTGTGAACATGTATGCTAAACGAACAAATTTATGAGATGAGTGCTTACAGATTTAAGAGGCACAACTATAAGAAAAGAAAATAAGGTTTAGGCATGCATTGTACATTTTTGTTGTTTGTACATCTTTGTTGGGGCTCATACAGTAAACTAACTGTTCAGCTCTGAGCAGAATCTCTTTTTCGCATAGACATGTCGATAGAACTTAAGCACTCTCTTGCAAGCAAAAACTCCTGAAATCAATTGGTGGTGCATGTTGTGAATCTGTGCAAATGCTGGATCAATAAAGGTCACATATATTACACACTTGTTATTGTGTTCACTTTTTCAGTATACTTGTGTTTGAAAGCTGAAATTGTTTTCTTCCTGCTACTTTTAGAGGTTTCGACTTGAAATGCGCACTATCTTGCAGTGTGGCTGTGGATAAGTCAAGATCATGTACGTTTCAACTACCTCTGCGATTTCGTAGATTTTTTTGTGACGGTAGTGCACAAAATTTCATTTTGTAGTGGTAGACACTATAGCTATGACAAGTAGATTTAAACAGAAGCAAATGTGCTAAAAAAAAAAAAACGTTTCTCTGCTTTATGAAAAAAACAAAGCAGAACCACATCCAATGAACACAATGTTGCTCATCACGACAGCATTCGCGTGCTTGATGAAGCTGTGCTGCAAGAGCTCAACACCTTTATGATTTATTACATTAAGGACCCCATTGAACATATGTGTCAAGGCTAATGCAATTGAGTGCAGCCTTGTGAGCTTTGGAGCGTCTGTTTGTAAGCTTATATGAGCTGAACACAGTTAATTAACGGTGTTTAGACAAAACAGTTCTGAGTGTAGTTTGTAAACTGTCTCACAAGGCACAAGTAAATGTCAGAAAGCCTGTTAATGCCCCTCACTGCGGGGGTGTTCATTTTGTAATGAAATTAATAATTTCTGACGATTCACATGCCAAGTAGGAAGTGATCATGAGTCGTACAGTAGTGGGCAAATTTAGATTGATTCTGGCTTCCTGGGGTTAAAACAAATGACATCGTAGCCTAGCAGGAGACAAGGCTGCTTGTCGAAACATTCGCTGTGACACGTAGTGTTCACAGATTTTTCATATTTTCAAGCTTCCGTTTTTAAGGGTCACCAATGGGAACTAGATCACGGCTGTGCAGGAGAAGTTCAGAACTTTTGCAGTACGAGTTCAGCAGTGCGACATACAAGCGAATGACAAGGTGGAAGCCTTATTTCTGTTCGCTTAATTTATTGAGGTGCAAACATCTGTGCAAAACACGCCGCGTTTGTAGAGGCGGGTACGGCACCTACGTCTAATGCTATGTCGTTTGTTAAGCTGTGCATGCGGCTGCAGCAAATCGGCCCCGTCAGTGTAGGAGGTACAGGAAAATCATGAACTAGTTTTAGTGCTGTATCTCTCCTGCACTTTTTGAAATTAATGGCCAGATTCAGAGGCCGCCATTGCAGCACCTCTGAAACGAATGGCGAGGCACAACACCTCGTAAAATGGATCATGTGCTGCAGGCGAATCAAACAAACCCTTAAGCACAAGAGCGTTTTTGCATTTCACCCCCATTGAAATGTGGCCACTGTGGCTGGAATCAAACCTGTGTTGTTGAACTCAGCAGTGCCACATATTGTAAGTAATGTACAGAGGTAGTGTTTCAGTTTCAACATTATTGAAGTGTAGATTCCATAACACAGTAGACAGCCAATGCTTGTGGCCAATCAAAAGCACCCCTCCACAAGATAGGCAATAAAACATTCGCAAATGCAGCGTTGCAAGTGGAGGTTTGAGATGACTTGTTGTAGTGGACGTTCAGATGTTCTTCAAGCACGTTCAGATGTTCTGCAAGCACGTTCAGACGTGCTTGCAGAGAAGACATTCGGGAGTATTCATCCTGTCGTTGCATGGAAGTCTGGAAAAATAAGTGACATCACCAGATATGGATAAGCATAATCAATGCAGGAAATTTTCCAAAGTAAACAAATAAACTCAGTTAACTAGTAAACAGCAGTGTGTTATACATATATGTAATGGTACTTAGTGTATCACTTGGGGCTACTTCTTAACAAGGCATGTCATGTAGCAGGTACCTTACCCATTGTACACAGGTGCTTCCATGCCAGGCCAGAAGGCTGTGGCAGAAAAACAAATATTTTTAATTTATCTGACGCTTTCTTTCTCACTCTGTAGTAAAACCACATTCATAATTATGTGATGCTTCTCAAGTGCGACTGTGGTTGAGGGTGGCGATTTGGGCTTCTTGGTATGGTAGCATGATAATATATAATAGCGTAGAAAAAGGACATGGACAAGAAAAGGCACATTCAAGACAACACAGCGCTAACTTTCAACACAATGCATGGACCCTTGTCCATGTCCTTTGTCTGTGCTGCTGTATATTACAGTCTAACACGGATTTATCGAACACGAAGAGATCGCGAATTACTTCGATATATGAAAAATTTGATATAAAAAATAGAACCTCCGAGAGCTTACCTGTAGCCAATTATCACCTACAATAGGTGCATTTAAGAATGACAACTAACTCCGCGCACACTCCGAAACAATGATTTATTTGCGTGAAAAAAAAAAAAAAACACGCTAATCTTGGCCTGCTTTGTTTTTTGACATGTTGAAGACGCTAGTCTCGATTTTATCAAGGCTGTCCTGGTGCGACAGCCTTGTTCCCTTCATGTCACCTATACAAGGGCGAATGATGCAGAATGCTGCCTCCACTTCAACGGCGGAGTACGCACGTGTAGCCAGCGCCTCGACCTGGACATTGTAGTCTGCTTCTACGAAGTTCTCCGCAGACATTTCCTGTGGAACTGCGGGACGACAACTCCCAAAGCGCGTCGTCCATGCCCTGGTCGCCGTCATCTTCACCGGTTCCCGCAAGTTCCGCTATCTCCAAGTCTGCCTTGTGCAAGCAGTTGACCACTGTGTCTGTCTTCATGTCTCACCAGGCATTGAAAATTGCGGGAAAAAGCTTCGCGAAGATTTCTGGCCACTCCTTTCGTCATCCAGTGCTGGATGTCCTGGCTGCTGACAGCTTCGTTTTTGCCAGAATTAGTTTTGCCAACGATGTTGTAGCACTGTTGAAATCAGTGAAGCCACCCGCTGTTGTCGGCGAAGTTGTTTCACTAAGTGCAGTGGCAAACCATTTGGCCTTGGCGATCAGCATTGGGCCATTCACCAGAATGATCTTTGCACGCAGTTCTTAAAACCAGGCATAATGTGCCTTTTCTACATTCCTGTGAACAGAAGCGTGCACATGACAGGCTCCCAATGTTCGGTGCTCCGCCGCCTTTGCTCTGGTATCTGCCTTGTTTTTCAACAAGGTACTCAAGTGCTCCGTGATATCCCGAAGCCGTTCGCGACGGTCGAGCATTTCTCGCTCGCTTCATTACGTTGAACAGCCTTCAACTGTCGCAAAGTCAAGGGTCTTGCGCTTCTTGACGCTGGCTATAGCTACACGAGAAATCCACAATTCAAGGAGTCCACAGCGGCTTTGCACACCATGCACGGAAACGAGAAATGATGCACATACGGTGGTACGTAGGTGACACGAGAGAGAAAGCAACTAAGCACACGCGAGGCGATGGCCACCTGCGAGGGCAACGGCAAAAGGCGTGTGCCGAAGCGCACCTTCCAGCTCGCTGGGTGTTTGATACCGTTCGAAATACCGTTCTATATAAACATGCGAATTTCAATACTTTTACTGAGGAATTTCGAGGGAATAACTTGCGAGTTCGATATACCCAAAAATTCTATATGTGGGTTCGATATAACCATGTTTGACTGTATCATATTAAGTCATAGGTTTTTTGCACTAATATAAGGGCGACCTACAAAGGCACATGCGAGGCAGCAGTGATGTATTTCCCTTCTTTCATCGCAACAGCCTGGTTTGTGTTTCCTGGCAGTACAATTTCAGAATTAACTATAGAGTTAGCGACTCCACGTTAAGCCACGCCACAAGTAACGCAGGTTTTCTCGGTGATAGATTGACACATTAAAAAATTTTAAAATTTAATATTGTAATTCGCTGCCGCCGTGTGACACCTACGCAGTGATTGGCAAAAAAACTACATATGTTGAAATGAACCAACTAGCCCAGAAAGAAACCACCCTTAAAAAACTGAAGTTGTTACTACTCACCAGCCCGTGATTCTCGGGCTCGCAACGGGTGTCTATTCGATGAAAGCTTCAACGGTCGCTTCGTTCCCCTGAAGTCACTTGAATTCCCTTCGCGAAAGCATTCGAACGAGTCAAAATAAACAGAACGAAAGAGACTATGTCGGCCGGCAGTGGCTCCAAATATTTGCAGTGAAACGAAGCGGTGCGAGACACATTCGAATGTACCGCGAGCCGTTCCCTGCCGTCGCTACCGCTGGCCACCGTATATTTTGAAATGAGGATAATGATGTCAATAGGCTGCTGATGACTACAAGTCAGCAGGAGCAAAAACTATTACAAAAGAATGATCACACAGCATATGTTCAAGCAAAGCTACTAAGTATAAGAGCAAATTGTTTTTTATGTGTACCGGTACATAACCTAGTATTCAATAATTTTAAAATTGAAATTCGGTACCGACGAGGACGGCCCTGCGAGAAAGTGCAATAGCGCAAATGGCAGCGCCCATGTGATGCATAACGCAGAGGTCAGTGGATCCACTCTGGTTGTTCGAAGCCAGAGCGCGCCGCAATTGATTTTTTCGCCCCCTACCGGTGATCACTTGAACTCCTGGGCTTGTTTTCACCTCCATCGAAAATGCGGCCGCTGCGACCAAGATTTCATCGTGTCACCTGCAATAAATAAAAATAAAATGGACATCTTGCTGAGACTGTTCTCAGAGGTTTTGAAGGAGAGGGGGGAAAGGAGATGGTGCTTGCTTGGCCTTGGGTGCTTACTTCATATATTCCGAAAAAGGGAGGCGGGGCACTTGCTTGGCATTTCACTGTAGTAAATGTAATGTAAAGGTGAAAAAAAAAAGCGGACGTAAAAAGAGCTTGCCGTGGGCAGGGACCGAACCTGCAACCTTCAAATAATGTGTCCTAGGCTCTACCAACTGAACTGCCAGCTCATTATAGGATCATGTGCTTCGTGATGCCAGCAAGCAAAAAAAAGGGTGTTGCACACTCGCCGTCATGGCTACTGGCTGCATTGACTGAAGTTGCCTCATATATGCACATATATGCCCCCAGAGCGGACGGAGGGGATGGCTGCCGCAGTAGCTCAGCTGGTAGAATACCAGACATGTTATTGGAAGGTTGCAGGTTAGCTCCCTGCCCGCTGCAAATTATCTTTTGCTCTACTTTTATTTCTTTGCCTTTACATTAAGTTTACTATTAAATAACAACCCCTATACTTTATTTGGCATTATTGTCTGGTTAGTTCTCATTAATATTGTGTCTAACAAAGTAAAATGAGTCCTTCTTTCTGTTCGTGTGATTTCACTTTCAAAATGAATTACCAACATGCCCATACTTCTTTATTTGTTGTAACCAAAAAATGAATGCCACGAAGCAACTGTGCCTCTGTTATAACAATGTTCAAGTGAATTTCACAACCTTGAGTTTGGCACTTTTTTGGCATGTTATGGGGCTGCAGGTGCAGCTGCAACAAGAGCCACAGCAGGAGCAGCAGTTCCAACAGCAGCCGGTGGATAGTAAAGACAGACGCCAGCAGGTGGGGGACTGGTCAGAACATGTCAGCTCATCTGGGAAAAAGTACTACTACAACTGTAGGACTGAGGTGTCTCAGTGGGAGAAGCCCAAGGAGTGGATCGATAAGGAAAAGTGAGTACAAATGAGGCTGAAAAGGTTGCCATTCAATCGATTGATTCATATTAAGACCAGTAGACAGAAAAAAAGTGGAACGAAATGTTTTGTGCCAAAGTACTAGTGGACATGTCGCACTTGTACAAGTCAATTTTTTCTTTAGGTTTGAAATATGGGTTGCAAAAAACATCGTCCATACTGTTCTTTTGCTTATCCAGTCGTTCTCATTCTTTTTGCCTGCCATTCTTCTCGTAGTGCCATATAACTTTTAAGATAAGGTTTACAGCACATTTCCTATCCACCGGTGATTTAAAAGGGACACTGATGTACCTTTAAAAAAAAATCAAGGTTATAGTTTTTTGTTGATTTTGTGTGTTAAATGCAAAAATCAAGTTGAATATTGGCATAAGCCAACGAAAGTACCTTTTATTTTGCCAAAAACAATGAACAGGTGCCTTGGGCCAATGCTTTTGGAAAATTTTTCAGTTTTCGCACTCTTCCTTTTGAGGCGGGCACAATTCACTCCTAGGTGGGGGGGGGGCTGCAGTCTGTCTTTGTGCCAAGTAACTGGGTGCTCTCCGCTAGCTTCACTGTCACTGCAGTTTAGCGCGTTCTATGCCGGTGTTCGGTGACACTTTATTTTTCTGTGTGTATGTTTCGTCGCTTTCTGTACACGTGGTATGCTTCCACGGCCTTCTGAATACAATTCTACGGCTACAGTCATGAAGACACCCAGGCATCTACGACGTAGAACACTCTTAGATTGTTGACATCGTGGGCACAATCTAAGCATTGACCACGTGTGGATGTGCTGAGCATGTGTGTACGTCTCCTAAAGTTAATTCTACTGTTGCTGCTATCCCGTGCGCCGTAGCTCAGACCTTCCGGACGCAATACACCAGAACGCAGCGAGCTCAGTGCTTGATGCCATATTGAAAAGCGTGTGCTGCCGTCTGTTACAAGCGCGGCAAAGCGACACTCTCAACTGCCAGGCGAGCAGACGTCCTGCAAATCAAACGTGAAACTTCACAACTCGAGTCCAGCTGTAAGCATGTTTCGCGCTGTCCCTGTGCTGCAATTTTATGCTGGTTTCGTGTGAAACGTCGAGGAGATCTTCCTCGACAGTCCAGAATGTCTGCAGCACGTGCATTGCAGACTAAGGAAGCAGCTTCATCAGGTACGTACTATTGCGACTGAAAAAAATGCGAACAGTGGAAAGTGTTGCTTTCGACACAGTCGAACTGCAGCGTGCTTTGGCTATGACAAGGCAGAAATTGTGCTGTAAGCCGGGGTCAACGTAGCGCTAGAATCTGGTTCCAACTTGCGCTCGTGCACCGCATTTGTATCGATTGTCAGTCCATCCGGGCATTTGAAACACGCACGCTCTGCAAAAGTACCAGCCAGAACAAGATTTTAAAATGCTACGGTGACGCCGCCCAAAAGCACATGTAGATTTGCCTAGGGACAGTCAAGGCATTTCGCAGTTCGACTGACTTGAAAGTCATGCTTTCCGCGCCGTTCACGCATCGCGATAGTAGGCCGTTGCAGCTGTACTAAACATGCACCGTGCGTGCATCCACACGTGAGTCGTAATATGTGTATCCTATTATTGATTGACATGCGGCCTGTGAAAGAGTACAGCAATAGTTTTGTGTCTTATATATACTACAGACATACTGCACGCAAATCCCTGCTGTAAAGTAGAACAGCTGAAGTCACGCTTGAATAAATGCAATAAGTATACTTACTCGTACACTTTACTGGGCTCGTAGTTTTTCCTGTCAATTGCGAATATATCACTACTTGCGATACTAAGGCGGCGGAGCTCGGCTTTTTTCGTTGTGGGCGGAAATCTGTGCAATTGCAAAACACCGCACCGGCACGACTCCCGCAATACGCAGTGAACTTCACAGGCAGTGCTCAGCAATCTCTTCCTCTTACGCTGGTTGTCGTCACATCAGATGACAGCGCAGTGGTACCCAGATGACATTTTATAAGCGGGCGCAGCATGAACAGGCGCTTTTTCGCATTTTAAACTCCCAGAGGCACTGCATTCCATGCTAGCGAGGCGCGCCTTGGAAGTTGCAAACAAATATATGGCGTCTCTGGGAGCGAGGGTATACCGCCAAAGGCGCCTGGGTGAGAGATAGGCGTGCTCTCATCTATAAAGGTGTGTTTTGTGCCAAAGCACACCAGCGGGTCCAAGAAAAGCCCCAAGCAATGCCACTTCCCTCTGCCGTCCTACCCGTTGTTACTACAGAAGTGGAAAGGATTCATGGGAAAGTTTGGGAAAGACGTGCGAGGTGGACGATGTTTGTTCACTTTCAAGAAAGCGACATTTGGAAGACATATAGGCATATCATAAATGGAGAAGTCGAAATCGGCTATGGTGCATGGGCATTGAGGAGTGATACTGTTCCTTGTTTGTTTGCAAACCTCCCAGTGTTCTTGTGGTGAAGTCGCAAAAAAAAGGGTACCTGTACCAGAAACAACTGATGCTGTCTTGTAGTCTGCCAGAAGAACCTCTGTAACAGGTACCCGCTCCTTGCGAGGACTCCAGTTTTTCGAAGCTATTAGAAAAAAAAATGTGCTTCACTTTAACTTTCCTGCAACTAGAGTTCGGCTGTCCCTGAGGAGGCAGAAAAAACTGCAGTGATGGTCTTCTTTAATGCTGAATTCAAATAATACATCTACTGCATCCTCACACTGTCATCCGCGAGAGTTTGACCTACGTACGTAGTTTCGGCGAATGGAAAATTGCTAAAAAAGTTACTTTTGATATACCAGTGGGGTCACTCAAGCATGTAAAGGCAATCGTGTATGTTGCGCTCTTTGTAGCCTTGCCTCGGCTGTCCGTCTGTTGGGTCAGCGAAAGGAGAAAGTGCGTCACTAATAAATACTCATCACAAGGACTGTGTGGGCATGTCTGGTGATGATAGAGGTATGCATGTCTTGTGTCATTCTAGCGAGAACACTGAAAAAAAAAAAAAAGAATGCAAAAACAACCATGAACAATGTCCAGATTGTAACCAGCAAATTAAGGAAACGCTTGATCTGTGCCACCGCTGCTCGAGAACAGAGAAAACTTGAGATACAGTCAAATACCGCTACAAGGAAGTTGATGGAGCATGTTTAAGAATTCTCGCAGAATTTTGTTGTAGTGAAATTTCATCTATATATCATAAAATTTGCTAAGATCTGATGATTATGACTTGTACTTTGGTCCGAGCAAGTCATGCATCGAACTCTTGCCAACTCAGCTGTACCCGCCTGCATACTGAGTGGACATATTTACTCGTGTATAACGTGCTCAAAATATACAGAAAAACTTTTCGTGCACAAGTTGACTGCATGGCAATGCAAAGGAGGCCTTGCGTCAATACGCAGGTAGTTTGTCTTCCTCCTGCTGTTTGCGGTTGGCGGTACCAGTTATAAGGACGGGCGGGTTATACAGAAGAAAATACGATGTTCAGATGACCTTTGTGGCGTGCACTGAGTGTGCAGCGCCGTGAACGAGCATTCCGAAGTTCCGCTAGAGGCCAACTGATAACTGCATCTGAAAGTGACGAAGCTCCGCATTACCTTTAATCCATGGCTGTGTTATTTGCGCAGCTTTGGATCCTATTTGTTATCGATGAATGAGACAATAGTGACCGCAGTTTTCTGCGCTGCATTTGTGAAAAACAGTACCGTAACTACTCATATCTAACGCGCACCTTTTTTCCGGTTAAGTGAGTTCATAAATCGCACGCGCGTTATAATCGAGTACGAAAAAAAAAAAGATAGATAGGCACAAGTCAGATAGGCACAAGCTTCCCCCGTTCCTCATATTTAAACGGAAGACGCTCCCGAAAGGAGTTTTTTTTCCCGAGTGGTGTGATCGTGTGGGTAACGAGAAAAATAAATGGGTGTGCGTTGCAATCGATGTCTTACTTTTTTTTTTTTTGTCGTGAAAACCCAGTGCGCATTACAATCGAGGGCGCGGTAGAATTGAGTAAATACGGTAGTTTCATTTTCAATCTGTGCACTCTGCGCTGGCTGTGCGCGTGAACTGCGTCGTTGCTATCTTTGTTCGCATCGTTACGGCAAAAAATATTGGGCTGAGTCAATGCACGCTGACTGCACGTCTACTTTTGTGGTCGCACGTGATCGCATTCGACACGACTGCATTCGAGTTCACAGTGGTTGCACCAAAATGCAATTACGCTGGGACTAGGTGCGCGCTGCTCGCGTGTGCACCTCCAGGACTTGTGGTTGTCATTCACGATTCCACGGCTAGTGACGACGAGCGGTAGTTTTGTTTTGAGCGCGACATCAAGAACGTATGGCAGGGTTTTTTGAAGATCGCGATTCTGCCGCAGCCGGCACGTGCCCTGTTATCTTTTATGAAATGGAACACGGGAGCGCGTGACCGGTGCTCTGCGGCAGCCACCTACAGGGCCATCAACCAACAGCGGAAAAAACAAAAACACGTTCACTTTTGGCGTAATCTATCGGTGCACAAAATAACCAGTCACAGCCGGCAGACAAGCGCTGCTGGATTACGTTCTCACTCCGATAGCACAACCGGCGATGCATGCAGCGCGTCATCTGCTGCAAACAAAACGACCGTGGTGCGCGAACGACACCTGGCACAGATAACTAGTCACGGCCAGTCCGGCCAGTCTGAAAGCGCGCTTGCGAGCGCGTGCCTGGAGACCGGCCATGACTGGTTATTTTGTTTGCTGATAGATAATGCCGAAAGTGAACATGCTTTCTATCGCGGTCGGTTGATGGTGCTGTAGGTGGCCGCTGGAGAGGGTTGGCCTCATGCTTCCGTGTTCCTTTTCATAAGGGACGACAGAGTACATTGAACCCACCGGCAGCATTCGGTGGATATAAGCGAGCTGTCGCGAAGCATCTCAATGGGGATAAATTTAGTAGGATGCGTGTGTGGTGGCAGAAAGCGTGTTTCTGATGTAGACATGGTTTTTACGATACGGCCGTGCGCTCTGGATGTCACGAGCCGTCGAGAAATGGCTGAGTTGGTAGCAGAATTTCGCAGCAATCAAGTTCATTTTTTTTATGGGGCAGTACTCGCGAAAACTTCGTTAAAGCAGAAATGTCCAGGAAAAGTATTTGTTGTGACAGACATTTTTCACATTTTTTCGTATGGGTGGCTGGTGGGGAATAGAAAATTATTCGTTGTGGCAGACTTCGTTATAGCAGGATTTTACTGTACGCCGGCAAAGTGAAAAATTGAAGACTGCCTCTCCACCGACTCGGAATAACCTAGTTGAATATTTACCTGAAGTGCAGAAAGTGTCCATTCACGGTACATCCATCATGCAACAAGAAGCAAAATCACCGAGTGGGTATAGGTACACAACAGATTGGCCCATGCTTTGTTTGCTGTTCAAAAGCCCGAAATGTCACAGGAATTCAATTATTCGAACTTGTTTGAAACTCGAATGCTCGCGATTCGAGTGTGATCGTGGCAAGTGTTCTTGTCTCAATGCACTAATGTTCTGCTATATTAAAGAAAAATTACATTTTTTAATGATCCCAAGTATACACTGATAGAAACCCATAAAATTAAATACTTCAGAAGAAGAAAGTGGACTGATTTATGCCAGATGACCACAGAAATAGTGTTGTTTCAGTAGGATTTTAACGCGGTTGATACGATGTAGCAATGGCTTGGTTCCAACTTACTTTAAGTACAACCCGCCGAGGTACTTAAGGTGATGTGCACAGCGTCAAAGATCCCTGTGCTAAGACTCGCGAACATAGCTTCTAAACAACTAAGCTGGAACCAGATGAGTCACAGCTTTTACCAAGGCTTTGTTGAGATGTAGGTAATACAATTGAGCTTGAAATTTTCTTTCTATACCTGGAAGAGCAAAAGGTTGCAGGGCCATAAAACAACTCTTTAATCGACAAATGCTCGCCTAGTACCACGCTTACGCGAACTATTGTTTTTTACCAAGGACCCGGAAAGACGCCGCACACGCATCTAGGCTTGATGCTATTCTCCTTATATATGTATCAAGAAGTTGCGGTGTGGGGCTCTGAACATGAAATGGTTGTAAACGCTGCACACTGGCTGCACTGCGCCTAGCTGTAGCAGGTGACCCTTGTTTGCTTGGCGCAAAGTTCGACTGCAGTGCTGCGGTGGCAGGAACTATAGCTGGCCGCCTGAAGGCTAAGCGATGGTTTCGAAAGTGAAAAAGTATCAACTATAAATGTTGCCTCGGGCAGCATTGTGAGTCTCGCCGCCGCCTGTGATTGGTCGAAGCTCCGTGACATCATTGGCGGTATTCTGAAGACAGCTGATGGCGCATGTGAACAGGCAATGCAGCGTTGTCAGTGTGTTTTTGTCGAAATCGGCGTGTAGTTGCTGTTATGGCAAACTCTGGCAGTTGCAATGAGTTCATTATGCATTCGTACATGTTCGAGCTGGTTACCACTAAAAGTGACCTGCCGGAGAAGCAGCTAGCACCGACGATGTGGCACAGGAACACGCGTCCCAACCAGCAACCTTCATCTGCTCCGCAAACATAGACTGGTACATAGATGCATGTTAGTGCTTAATTTCACTACAGTGAACTGATAGAAATGCCAAGTTTAGCCATGGATATTAAATCCAATAAGGAACAACAGCTCTGACACCCTCTTTTAGCCACTTATTGGCCCCTTCCACGCTGCGTAGGTGTGCGACAACAGCTGTCTGTGAATTTTACTGCTCAAGGTGCAGCGCTGCTGACAGCCAATATCACACTTCGCAGGTGGCAAGAAGCATGAGATGAGTCAGTGTGCTATCTCGAAAAAGAAAAAAAGAAAGGCACGCAGGAGCAGCTTTTCGCTGCAGTGGTGACATATGCTTCAAACCATGCGGCATCTTGCTCATGCATAGCTTGGCTCAAATATTGCAGTTCTGTTTATAATATCATCACTTTTTTGGAATGTTCGTCAGTACTACAATGACGGTGTGCTGAAATTCAAGCAGTACATTAGCTGCACGACTTTTGCGTAGAGGGTACCTCGTTTCGTGATCCCATCGTAAGCTATGTCAAAGCGTTTATCACAGAAGCACCTTATACCTCCTGGGTACTGATATATGTGAATGCAAGAGTTTGCCATAGGCACTCGTGCATTTTTTTCTTTTCGTGTTGCCAAGGGAAGTCGGGGGGGGGGGGGGGGGGGGGGGGGGGCAGCGGGAGCCCCCTCAGGTGTAGATACATAACGAACCAGACATGATAGCCAACCCCAGGGACTGCCTCAGGGACGGGCTTCGTACTCACTGTAGCGTTTCGAGTATAGCAAATTTGCTCTCATAAGTTTGATGTGTTTTCTTTTGATTGCAGTGACCCATTTTGTTTATTGTCCTATGTGTTAGCTACATATACAGTGGACTCTCATTAATTCAATCTCGAAGGGACATTTGGTTGAATCTCTCGGATGGATAACTCTGGGTGAGGCAACACTGCACATTATGATTAGGCATTGATTTTCATCACATTAAAAAATTTTCCAAGTGTTTTTAAACCCTAACTGCATGCAATGAACAGAAAGCAGAGGAGTAACGTCCACAAGTTTATTGGCCATTTGCTGCTGATCAGACCTTTTAAAGTGCGTCTCTCATAATCATATGGTGGTTTTGGGACGTTAAACCCCACATATCAATCAAATCAGACCTTTTAAAGTAATCACGAATCGCCAACTGTTTCTTTGCTATAGGTATGCGACTCCAGCACAAAATTATCTGTACAAGTTGAAAAGCATCGTGGTTCACCATGCATATGCTTTGTTTCAAACATTTCTTTACTAGCAAAGTCTTTTTTCTTGAAGGTCTGAGGTACTTATTTTTCATTTTTAGACTGTTAAATTTATTTAAGCATGGAAACTTTTAAATAGTAGTGGGAAAGCAGCAGATATTTTCTGGTATGAAACCGCAAAATGTATTAATCAACGGGATGATGGATTTTGAATTAAGAGGCTTTAAGTACATTAAAGAATGCAGGGCCTACGAAAAAATTGGATTTTGTTTGAATTAACCGAAAGTATGAATGATCAAAGTTTGAATTATCGGGAGTCTACTGTATGTTGCTTTTTAAATAATCTTCAATTGTGTGTGTGCACCTGTGTCACTGTATTCTTCCTCAGTTCTTGTTTCGTACTGCACCCAATTTTTCGCAGTAAAATAAGTTGGTACCAAAGAACCCAAATGGGTCTTTTGCTACAATACATCTTGTGATAACGAGGAAACTTAAGAAAAGCGACCTCATTGCGACCAGAAGTGCTGTAGAAGCCATATGCCGTGCGGTAATGCTGCATTGAGAGTGTGCCTCAACCCTGCACAACTAGTGAATGTCAGACAGCTAAAATCTCTAACTGAACGGTGAAACTGAAAGAAATCACTGCGAACTGGCACAACTGATGCTTTGCTAGGCATCAGCAGCAGTAGAAACAAGGAACCTACTGAAGCAAACAGGCACAGCGGCCCCACTCGTTGCTCTCCATGGTGTTGCCTCTCTACACTTCTTTCTCTGCCGTCATCCTCCCCGCGGCACTTCATGTGTGTGTGTGTGGGGGGGGGGGGGTCCATTGGCCAAAGTTTGCTCGCTTATGGCGCCGTTGTTTAATCAACCATCATGGAAAAAGACATTTGCAGGCATGTTGTAAGAGATCACAGATGATGAATTCACGATAGATTCGCGAATTCAGAACTGCTTCAGTGTCTTTATTTTTACCATCCTAACATTCTATTTTTTTTAGGACATTTTTTTGAGGGCATGCTATACGACATAATAATAAAATACCCTTCTTTATCTGAAATTACCGATGTTATTGCAGAGTAACCGAATTACTACACAGTAACCAATCACCACACAGTGACCGAAGGATCAGGGGTGGAAGTACTGTGCCAGTTTGCTTCTGCTGCGCCACCCTGCTCCAAAAGGCATTATTGCGCCAAGGTTGCTCCCAAACGGTCTTTGCTGCCTTCATGTGGCGCCGTTGCTTGCAACATGGCATGGCCATGTGAACTTCTAGCATCACCAACGCCTGGTGCGCTCTCCATAAAGTTGGTGACGATGCGAAAAAACAAAACACTTCTGCCTTAAGGGTGTGACAGTTAATGTGATAGCAAGAAAATGTAGTGTTACATGTAGTAAGACTAGCTTATGTGATTCTTTGAATCCAATTTCGCATAGCTCTACAAAATGCCGGTGTAAGAGAATATGACCACTGCTAGGGGCGAAGCAGTTTTCGTGCTGCCTGCTGTTTGAAAGCGAAGTAAGCAGGCCGTTCGCGAATGTCTGTCAAGATAGCGCGTGCATCTGTGCTAGTGAGCACAACGTTCTTACCATAGCGCTTGCTCTTTCAGCTACGCTGCACGCTCTTTCTGCCCTCCGACTTCCTTCGTGCTTCCTCGCCCGACCAAACACAAGCGAGCCGCTTCCTGTCCTTCTGAGGAGCGGTCGACAGCAGGCCATGCACGCAGGATGATGTTTTTGTATGTACCCTTTGTGCAACGGAGATCGCTGGCTCGTTTCATATCTGCTTCGGCTATACTCATCCCCAGCGCAAATGCTCTAGTAAAAGCTCTAGGAAAAGCACTCACATGCTTTTTTAGAGCTTATAACATGCGCTGATCGGGGTCATGTCATCGATAAGGACTTTATATGGAAATGATTTTTAAAGTCTTATCGGGTTTAAAATGAAGGTAACCGTTATTATCTTGCTTTAGTTTTCAGTTGTTGTTCACGTCAGCTGTGGTGTCTTGTTAGCATGAAAGTTTATTTTGTATGAAGTCTAGTCAAGTGTACTTATTTAAAGCACCGCTTATCTCTTGTTTTCTCCGAGTTAATTCTCTGTCAGCAGTAGCATTTCAGTGATGAAAACGCGCGTATGCACCGGTGCTTACGCCCATGGACACACGCACACTCAGAGACAGACAGACTGACGGACAGACTGACAGAGAGACAGACAGATAGAATTTGGGATTAATCAGGGCAGTTCATACTAAGAATAAATTTAAATTAACAATGATGTTTGTCGCGGCAAATTTGCTCCAAAACTAACTGCCATTGCACTATAACACACCTTTAGGTGCTCCAAAGCAGTTGCCAAACAGCATTATTCTTGCTCCGTGAGCTGATCTGAAATACTGAAGCCCATTTCCACTCCTGAAGGCTAGATGGAACCAGGAGTGCATAACGTTTTCTAAATATGCACTAGAGGGAATTCTGGCGCTAGTGTCTATGGGAGCTGCAACACACGGCGCTTCAGCGAGCGTGGGAATGATGGGTTAGAGCACTGCACAGGCTGACCCGGCCCACAGGTCGGGTTGGGTAAGGCATTGTTGGATCGGGCCTGGGCCAGGCTCGGGCCCATGAGCTTCAGGCTTGCCTGTAGTAGGCTCAGGTCTCATATACCATGTGTTTGAAGAAATTACTGAAAGGGGGCATTCGCATGCTACCTGCTGCGTTTACTTTGGCAGAAGGCACCTTCAGATGTGCACAAACATTAATTACGGCAGTAATTAAATGAACCAAACAGATAACTTTTCACCCAATTTAAAACCGGTAACTGAGGGTGTTTTCCAAGTGAATGGTAGATGGGCTGCTTGTTGCTCCTGTTTTGGTTTCACCAGCTAAATCAGCCAGATTTCATCGCTCCCGGTGATTACCAGTTGCCGCCTTTCAAAAATTTCAAAGTAGCTGTAGACTATTCATTGGAAGAAGTTTAATTCGTCCGTTCGACTCGGCTAGCTATATACAGTGGTCAAAAGATTGATTGTTTAAATTTCTGTAATTACTGTCATAATTATTGTAGATAGAAGTTGTTGTCATTCAGTTCATCTTGAATCTCAAAAGACATCATTGAATCTTCAAAGACGAATAATCTTGACGAAGTCATCATTGCAGAAGGTAAATCATCGGTGAATGCAGTTGTTTTCCCAAGTGTCACAAGTAAACCCACGGTAAGTTTTCTGATTGAATCGGACCGATTGTGAGTAAGTAATGACAAATAACAGTGAAGTGCGTTGGGTGTCGGATAACAGAGCGTTAATCGCCATTACGACGAAAATGAAGTGGACTTTCCAAGGATTATCATCCGTCGAGGAGCAAGGTGGCCATTATGCCAGCAGTCATATCTGCATCCTACAAAGAGATGCCTAAGAGAAGAGGGTTTCTCTTACTCGTCACAATGTGTCTCAGAGCCCGATACCAGTGGTATTGCCAGAAAGACATTCCCGAAGCAGCACATTGACATGAGAAGGTTCAACGAAGCCATCAATTTTCGAAATGGTCGCGAAGATGTTGCGCTACCAAGGACATCAGTGAAGGATAATGGCAGTGTTGCTATTTCTTGAAGAAAGGAACAGTTGAACCTTGTGCAAAAAGTATCAAGCTAAACATGATAAAATAATTACACCATGTTCTGCTAAAGAAAACTATGTGAAGATGCGAAGCAGTGGGGCCAACTTTTACACTGGCGGTGACTTTGATGCTGGCACTCAGTGCAGCGTTGCGCAGGAAAGAAACCTGGGGAAGCGCAAAGCATGCAGTCATGGATCGGTGAATCCTACTGGAACATAATTGCTGCTAATGTGCAATGAAAATCGGAAGACTCTGAATGGACACAGAGACCTGCAGTCCGCTTTTAGATAACATGCACGCTGGGAATTTTGAATGCATTTCTTAGTTGGGCTAAGTCAGGCGTCCGTCAGGATCCGTCCACCGCCCTCTCCCATAGCAACAGCTACGAATGCATGCACTTATTATCGCCCCTAGCAACCGGAGCAAGGGTCGCGAGAGTGTAGGAGAGGTGGTGGTGGTAGTGGTTAGAAGATGAGAAAAGGCACCTAATTTCTGCAACCCGGTCGGGAGCACGGCGCAGTGCCTAGGAGAGGTTAGGTGTAGTGCTTCGCAGCTCCTTCGCTCCTGTTCACTCTCTCTCCTTTGCGCACCCCACTTTTCCGTCCGCTTGCACTTCCAGCGTTCGCTGGCTGGGCGCCTCTCAAGAACATCTGGAAATGTGTCCTCAAAACGCCGCTGTGAAATGCTAACGCCGAGCCGAGAACGCTGTTTGTTTTGTTTACTTCATAGTATTTTTAACCATGCACGCTAGCTACTAGAGATGGAAATGCATACCGAGTTTCTCGTGACAGAAAAATGCCACTTGCGGCAAACGACGCTATTGGCTGCACGATGTAACAAAAAAGAAATGGCAGCATATCAATGGAGTGCACGATGATGAGTGGGGCAAAGTGTCTGTCAGTCCGTCTGTGATTCCGCCTGTCCGTTCGTTCTTGCTTCCGTCCTTCCGCGCATCCGCTGTGGAGATAGGTTTGCACAAGGCTTACCTACTATGCGCAACCTTGTAGGGATGCGACGTCCTCCACTGCTGCTGCGTGCGAAGACGTTGCGGCCCGGTTCGTCGTTTTCTCCGGCACGGCGCAGGAACCACGCACGAGGCAGGATAACAACAACGGCTTTATTAACCCAAGATGCAGCACAGTGCAACACTCACGGGCTTGCAGGCTGTATAGGGAACTCCGCAAGACCGAGCAAGTACGCTTGCCTAGGGCGCTACGACTCCCGCACTAGGGCCGAAGTCGAACGCACGAACGAGAAGCCGCCTGCTAAGCAGCGCGTCAACCTCTCAGGGAAGCCTGAGAGCATCTGCCGCGGCGAGCGAATCGTCGGGTGCAACACAGCCCGTAGGAGAGGAGGATGTCACGCGCGCCCAATGGGAAATGGCGCTGCGTTGTGACGTAGGCCCGCGCAGCGCACCAGCGTAGCGTGCCCGGACATGGCAGCGTTGAAAGAAGCCGACGGTGGACTGGCTCAGACCAAGAGGCGCCCTGGCAGCCATCTTGGCAGATGCCGGTGCTTATGCGCACCCGGGCTATGCTGGTGGCGCGCGTGCGGCAGCTAGGGAATGAGGCGCCAGGTATGAGGGCGCTCTCGATTCCCACACCGTCTGTGCGACCGTCCGTGGGCCTATCCGTTTGTCCCTCCGTCCATTGCTTCCCTTCGTGCGTCTGTCCCTGCGTCAACCCATAAGTCCGTCCGTTCTTGCATATGTCTGTCCTTGCGTCCGTCTGTGCATCCGTACATCCATCTGTGCGTGCTTGCATCTGTGTGTCTGTCCATCTGTTCATCCATCTAGTGAACACTCGAAGTACTGCCATCTCACATCTTTTCATCATATATTCATCATATAGAGGTACCGCCCTCCAGCAGACATTCCAAGGACTAAACCAGAGGTGGCACAGCCGGACTAGAGGAGCAGCATGTGTGCACTTTCTTACAGCCTGCGCTTCGTGTCTAGTTCCCACCTTTCACCGCCGCTAGTTCATGGCACTGCGACCCAACCCTCGCTAAACCTTGCTAAAACCAAGGAAGTTATGCCCAGCGAGTTTAACGTGGCAACCTTTTCTGCTCAGATAGTGCTCAAAGTGTGTCCTTGATAGTGCTCAAAGTGTGTCCTTCTGTTACTAGTTTTATTTAGAAAGCATCAAATTCAAGGCAAATATTATTGGAGAATAAGTCGCTGATACTCGTCTCTGTAGGTTATTTCATCAGAAACAACTTTTTATTTATGAGTAACGTGTGCGGCCTTCTTCCTCAATTCAAAACGTTGCGCGCGTGCCACTTCCCTAGTCCAGTCGTGGAGGTGGCTACTTACTACTACTACTACTACTACATACATCGCGGACGCACGACCCACGGCTTAACGAGCTTTGCCCCTAAAAAGAAAACATTATTCTACATTGGGTTCTCACGTGCGGAACACTGTTATGGACACTACGCGATGCGTTCGCATTTCGTCACAAGTCCTTTCGGGGAGGTGGGGGCACTTTTTTTATTGTTCAACAGTGCACGGGAGAAACTTCCTACCGGCATTACCTTGGAGGTCAAATCCAGTGCCTATATATATGTTGTGGGCAGTGAGTGTGATCAGTCTTCTTTTCCGAAATCAAAAACCTCGCTAGCACATGGTGCCTGCGTCGGCGTTGCGAGGCAAGAGGAGGAGGGGCGGACGCGCATCGCCATAACGGTGGTCACGCCGCACACTGGATTGAGCTCGACCCTTAGCTGCTTCGCATCTGAAACGAAAGTACGGAGATTGCCACTGATAAAATGTCAGAAGTAATCTGCGAAAGAGAGAGAGAGAGAAGGCTTTATTAAAGTCGGTCAATTACTTCAGGCATGGCCCGTCGCCCCTAGCTGTTGGCCGGAATCTCTTGGGACAGGGCAGCAGCAAGGGTTTGAGTGATTTGAAACATGTACGACAAGAATCACAGTTTTGTTAGTCACCTCTTCGAACGGAGCAGAAGAGTACCCTTCAATGTCCAACTTGAGGAGGGAGGTGATGACAAAGACACTCTTGGCGTCAGCTCTTGCTCGACAATGCGACAACTTCCGAAGACTGCAACTGGCCTGAATGGCTGCCGCGATATTACATATCAGCATTATGCACACCTCAATTTGAGTGAGATGC